ACCAGTAGCTAAGGACTGATTTATGATATAAGTGATGATGGGGACTATTTCATCCAGACATTCATACAAGAGCCCTGCTGGAAGAGGGTCAAGCGAACATGACTTTCTTGGGGTATTAGCGAGGATTTTCCTCACATTCGATTCACTGACCTCAACAAATTCAGCCATAGAAGAGCCGTTGAATAGTGAGAATTCTGGAGCAGTATCGATGTAACTGTCAATTTTCGCTCTGATCCTCTTAACTTTGGTAATAAAGTAGTCATTTAGTGCGTCTGGCAGCTCTTCTACAGCAATGTTATTTGGCAGAGATGTAGCCTTGTTTTTACCGGTCAGCTGACCCACAATGCGAAATAAGTCCTTGCTTGAGCCGCTGTCTGTAATCTGATGACTAACATACTCAGTCCTAGCTGCAAGGACCAACCTCTTGGTTCTTTCCCTGTGGTCAACAAAGATTTGACGGTGCACAGTCAAGCCCGACTTCCGCCATTGGCGTTCTACACGTCGCTGCTTCTGCTTAGCGTCCTTAATTTCGGGCGTGAGCCATGGGGCGGAAGGGCGGTCCGTAACTCGCCGTTTTGACAGTGGTGCATGTTTGTCTAAGATAACTCTGAGGCCACTGTTGTAGTCTGTAGCAGGGTCATCTACACCGCACTCAAGGGCGGCGACGTCACATCTAAAAGCCGCTAGATCTATCTATCCCATAGATGTTCAGTAAACCTATCAGCCAATCTTCTCCCAGTTTCCCCTATGTAACTAGATTGGCATCTACGGCAAACAATCGCATATATTACATTTCTGCTGACACAGGTGAAACCCTCTTTAATGGTAAAGGTACCTTTAGGGAGGCCAATGCTTTCAGTTTGGAGTGTAAAGGGACAAGTCCTGCAGCGGCCTCTTAAGCATGGTTTAGTACCAACGTAAGACGGTTCAGATCGAAGGCGACTATGAACCAGAAGATCACCTAGATTTCTGTCCCGTCTAAAGACAATCAGTGGAGGGGATGAGAAAACCCTGTTGGTATCAGGGTCAGCAAAAAGTATGCTACGATTTTTTAGGAATATTTTTTTGGCAGTTAAATTGTGAGGGTGGTAGGTTAGTATAAGTTTGGTACGATCCTCATTGTTGTTTGGGCGAGTTTTGAAAGTTTTAATTTAACAAACAAAAATAACTGTTTCAATTTTACAACAGAAAAAGTTAACAAATACTATTACATTGTTGAAATATAAGTATGACACGTATTTGTTGCATACCGTGTCTGAAGTGATAGAATGACAAGTATTTGTTGCATACCGTGTCCGAAGTGATAGAATGACAAGTATTTGTTGCATACCGTGTCTGAAGTCAAATGTATGATAAGTATTTTTTGCATACCATTTCTGAAGTCATAGAATGACAATTATTTGTTGCATACCGTATCTGAAGTCATGGAATCAACTTCAAAGGCAACAATAAGTGAAACCTTGTATTGTGTTACCAGTCGCCAGAAATCTATAACTGTTGTTGGCATTGGAAGCTGTGTCAAAATTTGTTGGTCTTTTTTCCTAAATCCCTAAAAAATAATGCAGAAATTCCATCATTAAATGCTGGCTAATGCAGAAAAATCATGAAGTAATTCAAAAAAATAATAGCTGGTAAATACAAAAAAATAATGCCTGCAGGTGCATCACAATAAAAATATTTTCTGCTTTTATGCCCATTATAGAGAGTATCATAACACAGAAGAAGAAATTTAAATGTAAACCTGTTTTATACTTGAATAGATTTCCCCCAAAAAACAACTATATAGGAGCCAGAAGGATCAATACATTGATCGTGGGCCCTTAAAATATAGAAAAAGAAGAAATCAAATTTAGCATTTTACTAGACAGTGTGATTTATAGTCATGCGTATTAAGTAAGCCTACCGGCATAAAGACTGCATTGATATAACTATCCATGCCTCTAGCCTCACACACTAAGGAAGGACTGTAAGTAGTTTCTGCAAATAAACATATATATGAATATACCAACCTTAAAATAATGCACAATAACTGATTTTTAGAATGTCAAATACATTTCTTACTCATTCCGGGGATCATTGCATTAATTATAAGTAAAAGTTAACATTGTCCCTATTACATTTTTAAAGAATTATATACCATGTCACTATTACATTTTAAAATAATTATATACCATGTCACTATTAAATTTTAAAAGAATTATATACCATGTCACTATTACATTTTAAAATAATTATATACCATGTCACTATTACATTTTAAAAGAATTATATACCATGTCACTATTACATTTTAAAAGAATTATATACCATGTCACCATTACACTTGAGAAGATTTCATGAAATGAGTTTTGTTTAACTTATTGAATAATTACTTGGAATCATTGATGAGTATCTATTTTTGAGTTTCTGGTCAGTATTATTATTCTGATAAATGTTATCTTCTCCTGACTGGTCATTGCCATCTGTATTTTCCCTGAGATTCTCACAAATTTCACACACAGCCTTGAGGAGAAAAACAATTTCATAAAATAATGACTACATTTTCTTTCATGATAAACTATAACAATTAAATCAGCTGGAAGCCAAAAAAATATAATGACAAGAATTTTCCCATCGTATTTTTAGAAACTTATTAAAAGAACTATTTTTTTTAAAAACAATTACTGGTAATTCAATTTCAATCAAAGTCTTGAATTTCAGACTTAACATGAGGTCGATTATTTCTTTAGAAATAATATAATTGGGAAAGCTAACAAAACAGCAACTTTCTGTGCTCTAAAAAAATTCCTCTTCTCCAAAAAAACAAAAAAAAAAAAAAAAAAAATAAAAAAAATAAAGAGGATGAGCTTCTGATTTTTGATGACTGACTAGTTTGGGGTGGGAGAGGGGGAGTGTAGTCTATATAATCTTTTGTGACAGAAACTGTCACTGGCCAGGACAGATGTTCCTCAAAACACTTGTCACAATAAACATTTTCAGCTGGAGGAATGTCCTGTAGAGTCAATTGATCCTTTTGTGCCGCACCACAGTTATGTTTAATTTGCTCTCTCCCAATTAAAATCAAAACGTAACAAACTATTAACCTACTTTAAATTCTTCTTCCATTTTGACATCCCCTGTGACAGACTTCCCTTCCAAAGTTTTTAATCTGTCAACAATATCCCTTGCTGTCACAGTTGTTCCAATGCACACAATGGCAACTTGAGCAGCTTTATGCAAAAACCAGTACTGTTCCTTTAATAAAACAAAACATTCTATAATTGGTTATGATGGATTAAAATATTATAGATTTATATCTTATAATAAATTATAGAAAATTAATGAAATAAATAAATTCAAATGCTCCTTAACTTTCAACAAACATTTGTAGTAAATTTCCTATAATTAACTTTTTAAAAATAAGAAACCATATTTTTCTGTAATAATATATTTTAAACTTACTGCTGTTTGAATCATTAAGATTCTGGCCTCCCTTAATTTGGTTAGTGTTTTGAAAAAATCCACATGTCCCATTGCCTCCGCTTCTCTTAACACGTTATGTAATGCTATGAAGGTCCCTGTGCGGCCCACGCCAGCACTGAATATTTAAATACCCAACAGTTTATATGACATGAAAGGATTATGTAAATTACACATCAGTTTAAAAAATCAATTAACATACAGAAAAATCAAATACTTCAAATACACATCATTTTTTAACACTAAAAGACCAGTATATTCAAATAAATAAATTAATAAAATAATTAAATTGGAACATTATTAAGTTGATCTTTGTGATAAATCACAATAATTATTTTATTAAATGGTAGATTAATTATTGAAAATAATGATTCTCTTATTCTGAAAATTGATAACTGAAGCTTCTTAAAGAATAAGACATGTTACCTACAATGAACAACAATTGGCCTTGTTATATTTGATATCTTACCTACAATGAACAGCAATAGGCCTTGTTGTAGGATGAGCTGACACCAGCTGTTCGAACTCTACCAGACCCCACGGAACTGTTGGTACGCCTTGGTCAGGCCATGAAGTAAAATGAAACTGTGTCATTATCTGAGTGGCTTCATTTCTCTAGGTTCAGATATTTTAAGAATTAATATTAAATATGAGCTAATTGGACACTGCAGTACAACTAAAACACAATCAGGAATTAATTCTCAGTGTAAGGTCTCAAAGTAAATCAGTTGAAATGTACATAAATATATCATAAAACTATTTACTTTTTATGTTTAAACAAAATTTAAATAATTTTTCAAGTTTGATTGATGGATGATTTGATAACCACATGCAGATAACAAAAGAAGAATTTAATTCAGTTCAACAGCATTATTTCAATTTACAATTATTAATATATTTGAACATAAAACAAAATAATTAAATTTTAACCTTTGAGAGTTCAATATTTCTGATGGTGTAGTCAGCAAAAGTGTGTGCTGATATTAATCTGACATGAATTTCACCAAAGGGGACATCACCATCATCTGGCCAGTACTGTTCTGATTTACGCTGTGAATACAACAACACTGAAAAATATCATTGTCAAATTAAGAACACTAAACAAAAGCACTGTGAAATTAAGAACACTAAACAAAAGCACTGTGAAATTAACAATTCTAAACAAAAGCACTGTGAAATTAAGAACACTAAACAAAAGCACTGTGAAATTAAGAACACTAAACAAAAGCACTGTGAAATTAAGAACACTAAACAAAAGCACTGTGAAATTAACAACACTAAACAAAAGCACTGTGAAATTAAGAACACTAAACAAAAGCACTGTGAAATTAAGAACACTAAACAAAAGCACTGTGAAATTAACAACACTAAACAAAAGCACTGTGAAATTAACAGCACTAAACAAAAGCACTGTGAAATTAACAGCACTGAACAAAAGCACTGTGCAATTAACAGCACTGAACAAAAGCACTGTGAAATTAACAACACTAAACAAAAGCACTGTGAAATTAACAACACTAAACAAAAGTACTTTTCCTTGGTACTTGTTTTTATATTGATATCTTTATTTAATGAATAGGAAAAAGAAGAAGAGGTGCCAGAAAGATAAAATATTGTTAAAGTTCCCTGAGCTGGAAATTGCTCAAAACTGCTTTTTCAAAAGTAAAATTAGAGAAATAAAGAAAAGAAAAAAGAGGTTTTAAAGCTATACGAACTTTTCCCTCTTCAATGAGGTTTGTTAGCATCACAACTTTGTCCACTCTTTGCTCCCACAGCATTCGTATAAAATCATTGATCATGTGTTTGGTTGGACCTGCAAGAAGAGTTACATTTAAAAATTAATTCTATTGGATATTTACAATTAGAAAATTAATTCTATTGGATAGTTACTTAAAAAAAAATTAACTTTATTTAGGGTAGTTAAAGTAAAGTAATTATTTTTATAGGGTAGTTAGATTAAAAAAATAATTATTTAGCAAGCAAATGAAACTATTTTTGGAATAAACTCCATACAGTCAGTAAACAAGTAAATTGCTAAAAAGAATTACTTATATCCATGACAAGATTTTCTGTTTAATAAAAGAAAAGTAAAATCTAAATGAAAGAAGTAAATAAATTGAGTATGTTCAAGTATTTTAACTTACCTTGAGAAGCAATGAATTTTTCATTAGTATGGTATCCCTGAAAAATTAAAAAAATGTTCATCATTATCCACAAAGAAAAAAATAGGAATAAAATGAACTTTTTGTCATTACACCATGCCAAATATTTTTGAATTTAACTTCCATATTATATAAGTAACATCTGCTGTTTTCATTACATAAAATAATAACCTTTTTACTCATCAAAATGATGGAAGGTTACATTTAGTTATAAGTAAATTTTCAATGACTCATTATTTGAAATTTATGTAATGACTTCATTTTGAGAATATTATTTTTTGCTGACCTGACTGCAGTCTCGCCCCTTATTATCATTAATTTTCACAGTTCCAATATTTATATTCTTTCACTTCCTGTAATCCTACTTCTGGCAACAACAAGGGAGATCTCTAAAGTTTTTTTTTACTGTGCTCTGTTTTTTGTCTTACTTCTATTTGTCCTGTTCGCAGAAGAAGACTTTAAGCCGAAACGTTAAGATCTTATTGTCCTGTCTTTTGACTCAAGCTTCAGCATACCTTGTTTTACTATTTAATTTTAACTAAGCAATGACTTAATGAGAGACAGTTCTGCCAGACACTGGTTGGATTTGAGAAAATGTTCTGTAACTGTGGCATTCATGCACACTCTTAGGGTAAGAATGTTTTAAATAGGAAAGCAGATTGAATCCTACACTTGATATTTATAGTTGCTTTAAACCTTTTTATCAAGGATAAAGCCATCAAACTTTTCTATAAAATATTTATACCTCAACGTAAGAAGCATTTATGTAATCTCCTTCATTCTTTGCGGTGTTGATCTCCAGGTGAACACGAGAATGGTCATCTGATGGAAGGAAGATTAATTTATACAGATATAGTTCACTAGAAACTTGAGAAATACAAAAAAGTTATGGGATTATATTGTAAAAGAGATAATTTATTTAAATGTTATAAACAGATTATGTCAAAACAACATTCATGAAATGCATAAAGGTACTACAGTGTTCAGTAAGCATACTAAAAAATAAAATATGTAATATATCTGACACATTTGTTCTTTTTAAATGGTTTCCTAACCTTACATTAATGCATATTTAAATTCACCACTGTTATCTAAACACCTCTTTTTATCTTAACCTTGAATCCAACTCACATGCGCAAATATTCTTGTATCTATTTTTCAGCTTGTTATGTTCACTAAGTCCAACTTCTGTTGTTGCATTTTTCGCTGCTGGTACTTTCTAATGAAAAAAAAACATAATTAGACTTTTTTAAGTTAATTTGTCATTTTTTCAGATCTTTGACATGTAATTAAAGTTACGACCAAAAGATATACAAATTCTTTTGTTTCCAAGTCTGTACGAATTTACCAGCATGCTCTCCCAGCGGTTACCAAATTTAAATGATCAATAATTGGTTACCAAATTTAAATGATCAATAGTAGTTACTATCCTAGTGTCTCATTTGTATTTACTTAGTTTACATGTTTTAATAATTGTAAAGCGCTTAGAGCTTTATGATAAGCGCTATATAAAAATGCCTAAATAAATAAATAAATAAATAAATAATTAAGTCCTTATTTTCACTAAAGGAGTTCTTAGATGGCTGATTTCTATGCTAGAGAAATACTTGATATGTCTTGAGTTGTTATAATTGCAAAATGTTGTCTTGGTTAAAATAGGTATTTATTTTTGTGCTGACAAAAAATATGTACAATTTAATCAAGAAAAATTTCCATTTATTTTGATAAATAAAGAATCTTATCTTTTGTTATCTTATAGTAATGTACTTTCGGATAGCAAAATAATGGCTGTTGGTTTTTTTGTTTCAATAATCTTGAAAACGTGAAAGATGTATTAACTTATTTAAATTAAAATTTCATCACATTCAATAATCAAAGGTTTTTCTTGTGCCCAGATCTTTAACCAAACTCTGCAAACATACTTGGAAATCTTGTAAACCTTAATGATATAATAGTTGACCATAATGGAAATGTAATGAAATCAGATATTTATTAATTGTGAATTTAATAGCTTGATTATCTCACTCAGCACTTTTTGCTTCAGCTAAACTCAGTAAAGTCATCTCAATACACCTAATGAAGTTGTCAAAGCTACACTTAGTAGAGTTTCTCAGTTACACTCAGAAAAGTTGTCTTAATTACACTCAGTAAATATGTCACAGCTACACTGAGTAAAGCTCTTTCAGATACAATCAGTAAAGTTGTCAAAGTTGAAGTTCTTTCAGCTACATTCTTCTTAAGGTTATGTAATTATGTAATATAAATTAATACAAATATAAGAGATGGATATACAAACATTTTACCTTGAACTGAGTGGTAAAAAACTCATTGGTGTGAGAATACATGAATGAATGCAGATCACTTAAAGCAATAGATGTATTTTCAAACAATTGAAATTTATTGTAATTATTATTGTCAGGACTTGGTATTGAATTTGCAGCTATGTTCACACAGACATCTGGAGGATCGTCTGAAATTTAAAAAAAAGAACAATATTTTTTTACTAAATATAGTTAACATGATTTAATTAGTTTCCATGTAATGATGATCAAACATATTCCTGAAATATAATACTATTGATAAACCAAAAATAAATTTTTCACTAACTTTTGGAAAGGCAAATAATGAAAAGCAAAGTGCTGTCTTTATGTTTTACCATCTACTAAGAAGTAAAATTAAGTTTTAAAAATATTTTTTTGCCTTAGTGTCATATATCTGAATCCTTTTACAAGGATGCAACTTCCTTTAAGCAGTGTAGAGATACATTCAAATTTAAACCTATTTTTTTGGTGGTGATATTAAAAAACAAATGTAGGTACTAATAATAAAACAATAAATTAACATTTAGTTTGAACCCAATAAAATATTGCATCACAATTATACAGAAATTGTTTAAAATCAAAAAGAATTTTGAATTCATCCAAATGAAAAACAAACATCAAATAAACATTTTTATAACTTTATTAAAAGACGTAGGCTTACCTTTAGATTTCTTCCTAGATAAACTAATTTGACTGCCAACATCAGCATTTACAAAACTCTGGTCAAGCATCTTTACGCCACGATATCGTCTTGAGAAGTAAAACATTAAAAAATAACTGAATAAAAACTTGTTTTTGTGCATGTGGGAACTTCCGTTAGTGAGTGCAAACAATTTTCATAAATAGACACCAGACAGTAAGGAAAAAAAAATGAAGTAAAAAGCACTAATTATTCACAAAAGACTTTGTGGATATGTAAATACAAAAAGTGATATTAAATATTTACAAATGTTTTATATAAAATGTAATTTTTCAATTGGTCAAGCCATTATTTAAAAATATCAAAGTTTTTTCGTCAACCCCATACTCCCAGTCACAGTACCTCCAAAAGATAATAATTGCGACAACCAGGATAATAAGGACAATGGCTGCAATAATTGGTCCAATAATTGCACCCAATGGGGGGTCGTCAACAGGTGGGCTCATTGCTGAAAATAATAATGAATTGAAGTAAATATATGATTAGAAACTTTAAAAAAAGCATTGATACATCTTTGTTTTAAAAATGATCTACTTAATATTCAAATCCTATTGTGCAAAGATTATTTGTAAATAGAAGTCACTTATTTATATTTAAAAAAAATTTATATTTTATATTCAATTCAATCTTTATTTACCTGTACTTTAAATAAATGAACATACATTATGTACTTTGTTACCTTGTGTACAGAAATCTCCTGCAAAACCAGGTTTACAAGACAAGCAAACACCAGATAGAGCATTGCATTGCCCATCTGTACAGTTGGAAGAACAAGTTTCAGAACAGTTCTGTCCATAGGAACCTGTATCACATTCTGGCATAACATTAAAAAAGTCGTTGAAATAAACAATATTTAAGTTTTCTTTTATATAAGTCTTAATATGGTGATTTCCTCTAACTGCATATTGTTGAATGCTCTTATTGCAACATAAACAAAAACACCATAGTCACTACTACATGCATACAAAGATGATAAAAAAAAATATTGAGCCATAACGCAAGTCATGTGAAATAAAAGCTTTTAAATTGACAAACTGTTTGTTTACAATTTATGTGAAATGAAACATCAAATTTTTAATCATGACATTTATCACCTGATGTACAGCTAGGAGATTTGTACCCAGGCTGACATCCCATGTCACAGTTACTGGTAAGTCTGTTACACGTTCCATTGTTACAATGTGGACTACATGGCTGAGTGCAGTTTTTACCCCAGTAACTTTGTATGCATTCTGGAAAATGTGAAAAAATAACATTGGTATTAGTGTGACAAATGATTTGACAATATTAACAAATAAATTGGCATTAAACTTAATTAGTGTGACAATATGATTAGACAACATTAACAAAATTTTCACTAGATTGAGCTATGGTCATTTTTTTCTCGGTTGTAATCACATTAAATAGCAGAGGGAAGTAAAATTATAATATAATAATTCAATTAAATTAAATTGTAATGCTCTGCTGTTTTGAGAGTTTGTCTTAAATTTAAAATTGTTAGTATTAAAAAACAACAAAAAAACGCAAATTTATTGAATCCTTTTTATCATCAGTTATTTTAAGTAAAAATAAAAAAAAAAAAAATCATACACTAGAATATGGTTTGATGTGTTACAGAAATAACACATCTTTTAGCTCTGTCACAGTTATTAAAACACAAAGTTTATTAATAATGAAAATTATAATTTAAATTCAATGCAGGTCTACTTTGTATATCTCTTACCAACAGAACACATGGGTGGGTCACTGTAACCATAGCAACCTTCTACACACTGACCAGTTGTTTTATCACATGATTGATTAAAACAGTGGTCACTGCAGTTCAGGCTGCAGTTAAGACCATATTTCCTACTGCTGCAAACTGGATGATAGAGTGTCAAAAAGAAACAATTTTAGATCTAATTGACATATTATTATTTGCAAAGTAAAAAAGCACCCTTGATATGCATCAGGGGTCAAGGCCAAGGAAAACTTGTTTGGGAACTCAGGCCGACCATAAAAAAACCAATTAAAAAAAAAAAAAAAAAAAAAAAAAAAAAAAAAAAAAAAAAAATTTAAAAAAAAAACAATTTTAGATCTAATTTACATATTATTATTTGCAAAGGAAAAAAGCACCCTTGATATGCATCAGGGGTCAAGGCCAAGGAAAACTTGTTTGGGAACTCAGGCCGACCATAAAAAAACCAATTAAAAAAAAAAAAAACAAAAAAAAAACCCAACAATAACCAGAAATGTTTATTTATTTCTTAACAAATACTGATAGAGCGTGAAATTTATTAGAAATTGCTGGTTTACACGTCATGAGTCATGTATCCAAAGAATAACAGAAAATGTAACTACAAAATAAGTTAAACTGTTTTCCATACTAATTAAATTACACTCAGATGGATTCTCTTAAACAAATGGTGTATTAAAGACTCGAAGTGATCAAAACTTTTGACATGTCTGTCTTACATACAAGTTTATTTTCTAAATGACACAACAACCTGCTTTTATAGTTCTCCTAGGCAGGGCCGTCTTTATAGCAGTGGAGAACCTGACATAGTAATGCAGGCACTTAGGCCCTTAACCCTCTATATTCTCAGGACCGTGCTAAGGAGGGGTGAGAGGCTAATCACACCCCCTGCGCCAATATCAGGGGGCGGTGAAATCGTCTTAAGATAGGCCCTTATTAGTGAATTAGGCAATCCTCCGAAGTCCGGTCCCAAATTATTTCGTATGGAAAAAAATGCAATACATAGTGTTTATTGTTAGAAAACAGCAGCCATGTCAGTCATGTCATAGCTTTTGCAAATAACTGTCACTTTACTTACAAACCAGTCAGTAAATACTAAATATTGTACTAGGTGCATATCATTTGCAAAGTCCTTCAATATTTTATGTGTGAATGTCCTGGTCTACTGGATCAACAAATTCACGCGCGTGCACATGACAGTTTGTGCATCAATCCCGTTGTTGAACTGACCGACATTTTGATATCCTCGCCAAAGCGTCCGTGACGAATGCTGTCCCTGGTAACATATGATTAGTGATAATGCGCTCGAGTGTTTGTGCATCTCGACGGCCAACGACCTCCATCCAACATCGTCCACTGCCGCAAACATGAATTTCAAAACAACATCATGACGCCTAAGACTTTTAAGTTAGGAGTAATCATAGGAACTAATTTGGGACCGGACATCGGAGGATTGCCGTGAATTAAATAATAAAATCCCCTGTACTTTACAGATACAGTGGGGGGAGGGGGGTAAAATCATCTTAATAGCGTGCCCTGGGCATCACTTCTCACGGGAACAGCTGTCTAGAGCTATTATTGATGTAATGTTATGAAAAGCATTATAGCCTATGCATTGTGACCAGTTTCTTTCAGGTAATTTTCCATGGGGGAGTGGGGGGGGGGGGGTTGGTTGGGGGGGGGTGGGGGGGGGGGGTTAGATTTCGGGCGTTTGGGGAGGGAGTGGCATCTATTGAGACCAAAATTAGGAATTTGATGCCCAGGGCTAGCTTTGACTTCGTCGCCACCGCCATACATAACCATACATTCATTCTGGTAGTGGAGCCCCCCTGAGGGTACGCTTTTAGCCCAAGCTTAGTTTCGTCCCTAGAATCTATTTAGTCCAACTACATAAAGGAAAATAATGTTTTTGTCCTTTCAAAACTGCTAAAAGTGGTTGACGAGAGCTATTCCCCTTTGAGAAGTATCCAACTTGTGATTCGCATTTATAAAATATTAATTTTGGAATGTGCCGATAACATCGTGGGTTAAAATTGGGAAACGTGCTGTCCCTTGATTTTTAGATCAAATAAAATTGCCAAAATCGTTCGCTTTTCATTAACAATATGTGCAGCATGATGCCTCTAAAAGAATGGGTCTCCTAGAAGCGCGAGGACGCCCTAGAAGCGTGAGGCCGCCCTAGAAGCGTGAGGCCGCCCTAGAAGCGTGAGGCCGCCCTAGAAGCGCGAGGCCGCCCTAGAAGCGTGAGGCCGCCCTAGAAGCGTGAGGCCGCCCTAGAAGCGTGAGGCCGCCCTAGAAGCGTGAGGCAGCCCTAGAAGCGTGAGGCCGCCCTAGAAGCGTGAGGCCGCCCTAGAAGCGTGAGGCCGCCCTAGAAGCGTGAGGCCGCCCTAGAAGCGTGAGGCCGCCCTAGAAGCGTGAGGCCGCCCTAGAAGCGTGAGGCCGCCCTAGAAGCGTGAGGCCGCCCTAGAAGCGTGAGGCCGCCCTAGAAGCGTGAGGCCGCCCTAGAAGCGTGAGGCCGCCCTAGAAGCGTGAGGCCGCCCTAGAAGCGTGAGGCCGCCCTAGAAGCGTGAGGCCGCCCTAGAAGCGTGAGGCCGCCCTAGAAGCGTGAGGCCGCCCTAGAA